GCACCAATGTTCTAGTTCTCTACTGAGGAACTGTTTCTACTTCTGAGTCGGACTGATAACTGTCAAAATGTTGAAGATGCTGACTACTGGGCGGGCAAACTATTGTGCTCCAAGTACCTTTGTAGCAATGCTTGTGTGTGCATTATTTTTCAGTCAAAATGTAATGTTTCCTGTGCAACAATAACCCCAATCTGTAATTAGCAGTTTACCAAACCACAAATCTGATTAGAGATGTACCTTTCTTTAAAAAGATTTTTACTTACATTTCTACAGCACTATATTTAGAAGGCACCTTTACATATAGCTCACATTTGATCCACCTGAAGGATGAAGGTCAAATGTTATTATCCACATTTTATAGGGCTTGGAGAGTTTACATTCAGCATGGCAAAGGATATCTAGCAATTTAAGCGTGGGAACTCCCACCCAAATCAAATCTCAAGGCTCTTAGTCGAGGGAAAATGTCACAAAACTTGAGTCGGGGAGGGCAATAACATTTTTAAATGACAGTAGAGAAGTCTGAGTTTTAATCTTGATACTTAACTACCACTACCTAGTAATGCAACCTTAAAAAAATTGTTGAATTCTAAAGGCTTCATTTTTCTCATCTCCAAAGTGAAAAATATGGACTAGATGTTTTTGGATGTTCATTTAAAAATAGTTATTAATGGGCCGCCAAGTGGCGCATTGGTGGAGCTGCTCTGGGACGCCAGAGGGCGCCAGTTCGGATCCCACATATGAGGGCCAATGACACTGCCCTCTACAGCTAAGATGCTGAACAACAGCTCAACCTGGAGCTGGGCTGTCGTCAGTCGCTGGCAACGGTGTGGGCTGCAACCCCTGCTGCAGTGGGTTGCCATGGGCTACCGTGTGTGGCCAGCAGCCAGCGTGAGCGGCCAGCAGCCGCTGTGAGCGGCCCTCCAGAAGCTGGCGACTGATCTACCTCACCTGGGAAGAGCGCAATGATGGCGCCAACTTGGGCCAGTGAAGCAACGTCCTCCACAACTAGACTGAAGAACAAAACGACAGCAAGTTGTCTGTTCCCCTTCCCCCAATTCCCCAGAGCTGTTCCCATCCCCCAATTCCCCAATAAAAATGTTAAAAAAAAGTTATTAAGCCCTAATATGTAGGTACTAGGAGACATATGATAAATAATACTAGGCTCTTTCTCCTAAACTAAATCACAGTTAGAAGATGAGACATACACATGAACATGCTAACCATGAAACAACGGATAGCAACAAAAGGTAATTTAGCAAGGAATGAGGCTGGGGATTTAAATCTGAATGAAGTCTTAAAGAATGAAAAAATATTATCCAGACAAATATAGAACAGATGGACGTTCCAGTTAGAGGGAACAGCATAAACGAAGGCTCAAAGTACAAAAGCGGCACAGTTTGTACAAGAATTATTAACAGTTCGGTACTGTCCAAGTGTAACTGCACAGAAAAGAGACGAAGCAAGAGTTGAAAGCAGAGGCCAGATCAAGGAGCTTCTTTATGATTTATTAAGGAAACTGGACTTTATCCACTAGGTAATGAAGAGCCATGGGCTTTCACAGGATTAAATACTAAGATGTAATTTTAGAAAGATCACTTTGACAGTCATGTGAAGGAAGTATGAGAAGTGGTAGAAACTAGAAGCAGAGCTTCGAGTTAAGAATCTATGATGAGGGCTTGTTTTAGGGTGATTATAGGGAAAGACATTAAGCTCAATAAATAAGAAACAAATTCAGCCGGAATAGAAATGAACAGGGACTGGGGTGAAGATGTGAAGATAAAAGAGTCATGGACTGGATCCAGGTTTCTGCTCAAGACAGATACTGGGTAGAGTAGGGATGTCCAGAAGTGAGGTGAATGTATAAACTCCTGCTCAGGAGAGAGGCCTGCCATGAAGATATCCACGTATGGGAGTGAGCTGCATACAGGTAGGAACTGAAACCTTAAAAGTGAGTGCAACCACCCAGGGAGAGGGTACCAAGTGAGAAGACTTCTTGGCCGGAATCCAGTTAGACACCAAAATGCATGCAACAGACACAGGAAACCAGGCGAGAGAGACATTCCAGAGGCAGAGATGAAATCATCACAGGGAGGAAGTGGTGGTCGCTAGTATAACACACAGCCCCGGTGGAATTCCAGGAAAAGAACTGAAAAACGTCCACTAATCTTCGCAATTAAGTGGTGACTGGAGAACTTACTCAAAGTGGTTTCTATCAAGTAAATAAGGGGGGAAGCTAGACTGCAGTGGGCTGAGAAGCAGAAACAATGAGATTAGACTATCTCGTGGGACATCATAAATCAGAAAGGAAGGAATCAGAAATTTAATGAAGATTGAAAAGATCAATTCCAGGTTCCTTCCAGTTCTCATACTTTACTTTTTTGTATAAGTAAAAAGACTATTTTGGTAAAATTCCATTAAAACCCATATAGATTAATTTTAAGTAACATTTTTAATTATCAGGAAAAACAGGAGACTCACTGTCGCTATCAATGGAATATATACATACATATATATAAACATTTCCCAACATACCTTAGAAAGACCTTGTAAAAGTCTCTTTTCTCATATACTAAAGGGGTCTAGACAATAGAGCAACAATTGGTGAAGTAACCCTCACTTGCTCCAACTGTTCTTTCTTTCAATGTCTCATAAAAACATTTTGTCACTCTCTGCCGAGAATATCCTTCTATTTTAATTTAACTCCTATTCACTCTTCAAGGGCCTGCTCAATTTCCACCTCACAGAATCACCGAATGTTAGAGACAAAAAGGGCCTTACAAATTCATCGAACCCAGTGTTTTCACTAAAGCTGATGAAGGAACGAAAGACCGGAGAGTTTCAGAGCATGACCTGCCCCAGGTCATACTCATGGCTTCCGGCAAAGCTGAAATTTGAACCATTTCTTTAACCAGAGCCCATTCCACCACTCACTATGTCCTCAGGTAACTTATAAAATTTAAGATTGCAATAAATCAAGCTTTAAGAAAAACCAATTTAAGGGACGGCCAGTTAGCTCAGTTGGTTAGAGCGCAGTGCTCATAACACCAAGGTTACCGGTATGATCCCCACATGGGCCACTGAGATGTACCCTCCACAACCAGATTGAAGACAACTACTTGACTTGGAGCTGATGGGTCCTGGAAAAACACACTGTTCCCCAATAAAAATAAAATAATCAATTTAAAAGAGTTTATTTAGTGTAAGATCCATGTAATACACTGCTGAAAATGAAGGTGCTGGCTACAACTTCACTTGTTCACTTGAGTCAACTCCCCCCAACTACTGGATTATACGAGTAAAGATTACAGATGTCGACTAATACTTATTTCGTGGATATGCCGACTGTCAGTCACGAAATCATATCTCTCCCCACGAGTGCAGCATTTATTTCAGCCTCTGCCAGTGGAAGTGTTGGAGCAGATGTTGGCAGACTGTGACATACAGTACGTCTTTAAAACTTGTTGGGGTGTGAAATTTCATAAGGTCAAAAAATGCTGCATTTTGATCAGCAGATACAGGAGTTCTGTACTTTTCTATATTATTTCAAACAAACCAATAGCATTTGCTAGTAAGCTAGAGAAACTAAGAAACTGTACTGGCTTTGGGTAAGCTATGATAATGTGTGCCGCTAATGTCGGGAAAACCCGTTTCTATTACTTTAAAGCAAATGCTCGCCCAAAAGATCTGTACAACGAAAATGTGTTCTTAAGTCAATACAGAATACAACATGTGATTTCAATGGACAATAGGATTTTAAAAATAATTTTCTACTGAAAGAAAGCTATAAATTTAAATATAAATATCTAATGAGCATCTGGGTGGGAAACAATTATTTCTTTAACTAATACACAGGTATAACATAGTTCTCACTTTTTTCTGAAATGAAATCCCAACATAAGAATCCATTTCATAAATAGAGAGGGTTTTTTTTAAGTTAGTGTGTTTATCATTTAAATGATTTCACAAACCTTTCGTTTATCGTTTTATCTTCTGCTTTAACAAAATTAAAAGATAACTTCTATAAAAAAGGCTGATGCTCTAGATAACGATAAAATGACTTATAGCATTCAAGGTCTTTTGTTACCTTGGAATTTTTGTTGTTACTATTTAATTGTAATCATTATTATTATCTTTTGCTTCAAATTTCCCTCATATTTTCCAAACATGACTAACGGATAACAACATAAAGCAAAAGCAAAATTAACAATGATGTCTAGTTAAAGGTTTTATCTCAATGGTACAGACTTTAGCTGTTATGCAAGTTTATTTTAACATAATTTTAAAAGGCTTTACTTCTGAATTAACACAGAAAAACTCTTCCATTGATTAATCAGTCATTTGAACTGTCTGAGTGCCTGGGCGTAACACAGAAATAACAACTGTTGTCATTGTCATTGTCGTTATCCTTCAGTTTCCTTTGTGCTCAAACAAATACATAATTTCTAAATAAGTTGAAATTACAAACATTTTGTTAAGGTATTTGTAAGGAAGAAAAATTACACTAAAAATACAAAAATCTCCCCAGAAAATAATTTCTAATGTAAATCACTTGTTTCTCATCATACAATCAATCAAAAGAGCTAAGACGATGACAGGAAACTCTGATTAGAGTTGCACTAAGCACTGTGGCATCTTCAAACCTAATTCACTCCAGCAACCAAGTTCAAAGGTCTCCGTTTCCATTTTATAAAGGAAAACCTGAGGTACGTATGGGGGGAATCAAAATGATCACATTCAAGTGTTAACTATAAAAATATCAAAATATTAAACTAATAGTTCTATTAATAAAAAATATTAAACTATTCATTATAGGAGACCACGTTATTGATAATTCCTTTGCTGAGTAACTGAAATTCTAGCAAAGCTGAAAATTTCTCTGCTATTCAATACAAACCTAAACTTTTTCATAGGCTTCTTGTATTTACTTCTAAGCTATCTGACACATAAGGCCACGCAAATAAATAAGTTCAAGGTGAAATCAACAATTACAATGAACTTACTTGCCACTGAGAAGTTGTTGAGGGGATAAGGTAAATCCACATCTTGAGGTTTCTCTTTATATCCTATGAATGAGCCATCTGTCTTCAAAAGGAAATATCTTGGCCTCCAGTTTTTTATATATTCTCCTACATGAGGAAAGCATGCATGTTAATGTGGGAGGAAAAAAATGAACAGCAGCTTTTATGTGAAAAATAAATTATGGTACAATATATGTCCTACAACACTGTCCTCCAAAAATTTAGTTAGGCAATTTTCTTTTAACTTCGCTTACAAAAGAAAATACGTAAGCCTGCAATTAAGATTCAATAACAACCCAAACATGTTTTGTTTTTAATGATTTCACACTTTGATAATTCATTTGCACCATTATTTCTTCAGAGAATCATTCCTCTGAATACACAGTTTGTTCAGTTTTTCATTTTATCACATGGTTGTTAGAATATATTTTCAGCCGTTTGAAAAAGCCTTGGTAAATCATCCACACAGAATCAAGGAATTTCTATGAAAAACACTTAGCCCAAGAGGGATATGAAATAGATGTTTCTCTTCCATGTACCACAGACTAATTGTGTCATTTTTAAAAGAGAAAGTGAAAAGAGTCTATTTTTTTGTAAAATCATAACTTGTTTAAACAACATGCTATTGTTCTACATAGGAAAATAACTTTCTGTACAATGCTGTAAATGAGTCAAGAAAATGAAAGGACGCGGGTTATTAGAGCTTAAAAACCATACACACACTCATACACAAACGTAATAACTGTAAAAGCACATGGTACATCGCCAAGCACGTCAAGTCAGCAAGTGTATCATATTTTATCAGATTTTGATGAAAGCTACCCCCTAGCTACCAAAATAGAAATGTTTAGATCAACATTTGCTTACCTCAGAAAGAACTCTTCAGAATTGTAAGCAACAGAAGTGTTTTATGATTCCGCAGAGCTGGGAGGACACCTGGTCTCACCTTTCAGCTCTCTACTTTACATTTCTACCTGGGTATTTAATCTCGAATGCTTAATCGCAGTACTACAAAAATTTGGAAGCAGTTCAACTTGCCCCACAGACCAGCTTCTCTTGATCGCACTTCTCCAATCTCAAGCCTAACATCTGACTTCTCCCTTCCCTGTCCTGTCAGTACTGTCCTATCAGTACCACCTTCACAAATCTCTCTCATTTAGCCCAACCTAAACCAGGCCTAGCACCATCCACCTGCCCTCTGCTGAGATGCTGTGACTGCTCTCCCGTCTACTCATCCCCCTTCTATCCTAACGCATCGGTCACCTCCAGGTTACTCATATGTCTGTGTGTGCCACTTCGATTATATCCCTTTTCTGCTCAAAAACATTCAGACTCCTTACTGTTTACTGTAAAGTGCAAATCTCTCAGCCTAAAATGTAAGCTCCTCCATAACCTCACCCCAACAGGTATTTCAGATGTGGAATCATTGTGCTGAACCAGCAATTCTCAAATTTCTTATCTCAGACCACTTTACACCCATAAATATTACTGAAACCACCCCACCAAAGTTTTTGTTTATATAGATGACATCTATAATGTTTACTATACTAGAAATTGAAAAGAAAATTTAAATTCCTTTACTTCTTTTAAAAATAACAATAAACTCATTACATGGAGCATTTTTATGAAAATAATTATATTTTCTAAAACAAAACAAATTAGTGAGAAAGGAAGAACTGCTTTACATTTCTGCAAATCTCTTTAATGTTTGGCTTAAAATAATAGAAGACAGCCAAAGTCTCATATCTGCGTCTGCATTCAATCTGTCACAGTACATTGTTTGGTTGAAATATAGGGAAAAAATCTGGCTCTAACAGATATGGAGCTGGAAAAGGGAACAGTATTCGGATAGCTATGGATGTCTTCTTTTGATATTACACCAGCATTTGACAAGTGGTAGTTTTCTAACAGGCTACTTGCAATGTGGAATTTGAAACTCCATCAACGAACTTTCTGTACTCTGTTATATGAAAATCCACTGGTCTATAGTACATATTGAATGACTCTTTCACACTATGTATAATGTTGTAACAACACACATTGGTCTTTTAGAAAACACTGGTCCACTGAGTTACACCGATCTTCCAAATATTGACACATTTCATTACACAATATCATTCATTACTACTGTAAATCTCATCAGAAAAGCAAGCACTGGGAAATCTGTCAAGCTCACGCTGGCAGATATACTCTCCAAAATTCTAATTTTTGCTTGAAAAGTCGATTTTCAACATTGGCAGTAAATACTGTCAATTCTTTTTCCTTGTCGTGATATACTCCCAGTACCCAACACAATGCCTACCACTTGACAGATGCACAATAATTTACTAAATGAATGACTGAATGGAGGATACGTGTATGCACATCACCCCCACAAGTGTATGAGCACATACAAGAAACTTAAAGGGAAAGAAAAAACACCTGACACTATTCCTCACTTTTACTGAAAAAATATGGCCTTCATGTAACAAACATATGCCCAATTTATAATGTTAAAATCATAGTTCCAATTAAAACAATAAAACAGTTCCTTTCTTCATTGTACTTATTTTTCCATTTTTATTTATATATTCCTATATGAAATTTAAGATCATTAGATATTCTCTAATTAGTGCTATAATAATACTTAGATTTTAAATGCTATAAAACAGTGACAGATTTATATTGGCATAAGATATTGTCTGTTGAGCTAAACAATAATAGTTTAACAACTATACCAAAGATAAAATGAAACCACTTCATTTAAAAAATCTGAAAGAATAACACCAATTCTTATTTTATAAAAGTACTGAGTATATTTATTCAAAAACTGTGAAATTAAGTGAAATAAAAACCAAGTTTTCATTTCTAAGAATAATTTCCTGTCAGCCATTAAGTATTTATATGCTCAGATGGAAGACACAAAACATCACCATATCTTTTTTATTAAATGTGTATCTTTTTTATTAAACAAATCTTTGGAAATTTGATATGTTTTATGTGGTCTACAGCAGGACTTCCGGTTGTCAAAAAGTCCTTAAAATAAACCTATTATGCATCCCTGATACATAATATATTATACCAAGACAGTGTGATGGTCATTCACACAGAGAAAAATAATAAATAAAAATTTCCCTTCTTGATAAAAAATACTTATTTCTCATAGAATTTTATTAATAGTTTTTATTGACTCAGTTAAATTGATCAACAATTGTACTGTCACACCAAGCTAATAGTGGATCTCAAACTTTCAATGAGGCCTCCTGAATTGATCTTATCATTTTTCATCTATACTATGGACTTTCTGAGAAGATACTTAAGAGTTCATTCATTTATTGATTAATTTGTTCTAGGTGCTAGAGACAATAGTGGACCAAAAAAAAAAAAAAGACAAGGTCTCTAACTCATAGAGCTTATATTCCAGTATTACACTAGATTTCGAGTGCCCCTACAATTTGGAGAAGAGTTTTGAATATTTTCTGAAAGCAGATCCCACTTTTATAATAGCATGATGCGTTGGCCTAATTAAATATTCATTTTCTAGTTCCAAAAATGAAACTGAGAAGAGGTACTTTTTCTACCAAAGGAAGGGGCCTTACAGGCGACACAAACTCACAAAGTATAAATAAAACAAAATAGCAAGCTTTATTGCCACCTACCAGGTCCAGGGCAGAAGAAGTAGTTTCCCAGCTAAAAAGAGTAGAAGGTTATAGCCTTTCAGGATGCCCTGGCAGAACCCTGGGCACACTGGTGGTAAAGTGGAATTGTTCCTGCAGCTTGAGGTTCCCAAGAAAACTAGATCTTGTCCCACTGGTTATGGAAAAGGAGATGAACTGTTTCCTCACAGACTCAGTGGTTGAGGCAGTGAGAGTTCAGGTAAGGCACATGCTCTCAGGCTGTTCTAAAAACATGGCCAAAGAGTCCTGGCCTTTATGGGGCTGATGCCAAAACAAAGGTATCTTCTCAACACCAACCGTTTAAGATAAGACGGCTCCAAGTCAACCGCATCTGATATTTTAAACATAGCATCTACATTTCAGTTTATACCTGCTGTATTAAAACCAAGTAGCATCATAGTTTTGTATTTACAGCCCATAGGTTTCAACTAATTTAAGAGACAACCTGGTAATAATGGGGAGAAAGTCTTTTTTTATAAAAAGCAGCAGCATTTATGGGGTACCATGTCCTCCAAAGAGACTGCCCTGTAGGTACCTACGAATGGACATTCAAAATTTGTGTCCACTATCATGAGAAACTTTCAGCAAGGCGCCAAAGTCACAACTGGACAAGATTTCCAACACGACCTCTTCCCAACTGTCTATCTACCTAACGGGTGCTTCCAATTCTTGCTCATCCTCGGCTGGAGGCATTATGTAGTTTGAAGTATGCGGTTACCATGTTACCAACATCAAAACACACCATATTTCCCCATGTATAAGATGCACCTTAATTTGGGGGCCTGAAATTTGAAAAAAAAAATGTATTACATAAAGTTACTGAACTCAACTTTTATTCATCATAAAATTCATACAACTCCTCATCACTGTCAAAACTCCCAACCATTAGCTTGTCCTCATCTGTGTCTGATGATGAATCACTGTCTTCATATATTGCCTCGTCCTCAGTCCCATCTATGGCATTTGAAATCTACAACCACTGTATAAGACGCACCCGGTTTTTAGACCCCAAATTTTTTGGAAAAAGGTGCATCTTATACATGGGGAAATATGGTACATTTCCCAGTAAGCATTCGGATCTTATGCCTCTGTAGTAGGCTGAATGGTGAACTCCAAAATATATGTATACAGCCCAGTCCCTGGAAGTTGGGAATAATACCTTACGTGACAAAAGATGTGATTAGTTTAGGATTTTGAGAGGAGGAGCTTATCCTGGATTATCTGGGAGAGCCCTAAACCAATTACAAATACATTTATAAGAGGGAGGCAGAGGGAGATGTGACACACAGGGAAGAGGAGGATGCAATGTGTCCATGGAAACAGAGCCTGGAGCGAGGCACCACAGCCAAGGACGCCTGGGGACACCAGCATCTGGAAGAGGCAAGGAATGGACTGTCCTCTAAAGCCTCCGGAAGAAGGGTGACCGTACTGACACCTTGATTTCTAACTCCT